TATGCATGTTTTTCGGGTAATTAATTGGTTGTACGATGGTTGGTTTTTCGAATTGAAACGAGTTAACGGCTAAATTGACGCGTTATATGTTGCTCTGAATGGAGATTGACGGATACGTTTTCCGAATCCATGGGTAAAAAAATCACAGATAAAATACAATCTCTGTCAACTTGAGTGATTTTATTCTACTTTGAATTTATTGTTTGTGCGTAGATTTGTGCGTGCTCGTGCACTCCCATATGTACTCAGAGGTTAAGTGCAAATAGTTTTGATGGATGTGGGATAAACATGAAACAAGCGAACCATCAGAGCATTAGAGGCAGCAAATGGAAGTAAATCCAGGATGCGGAAAGTGAAGAATGAGCAGAAAAAAACCGAAGCTACATCGTGCTAATAATATATAATACAGATATATAGGCAGATGTTTAAGCTGCGATCATATATTATGCTTAGAAATAATACGTACGCGACACCATCTCGCTCGCTTGTTTCATACCATTTACATAAAAACCGAATTTTTCGAACAACAAACCCTTTGAAGGAAGCCAACAATTCCATTCGAAAACAAGCTATGTTTGTTTTCAGTGCGGTGGTGGTGGTATGTGGTGGCGGTGGCAGCAACGGCGGTGACTGCGACAATGATGATGATGTGCGTAATACGGTAGGTATGTGCACGTTCTCTGTATATCACCATTTGAAAGTTCAAGTATTCCAATATAGACGTGTATAGTACATGTATGTCTCTCTCCAACAGTTTTACATTGCATACATTTGCCTAAAAACACATTATGCGAGATATTGGATATGAAAACCGAAGGACCGCAGAATTATTTATGAGTCTCGTTAAGCTTTTGCCGATGTGAGGCGCGCACGGGGTAAAAAAAGTGCGACAGCACAAAAAAGAGCGTGCAGTAAAACAAAGCATAATGGAATCGTAAACGCACCAAACGAGCGATAGAAAGGACACACACCGACCGACCAAACCAACGTACGAATGGCAAAAAAGGATGTGGCATTCTTGTGCGAGTATGTAAAACAAAGCATACACCGAGTAAACCGTATGCTTTTTAGAAAGCGACGAAAGAAGAGCAGAATGAAAAATAAAACCAACACAAAAATGTACATGATGTTATTCACATCATGGCAAAATGACAAAAAACGGTCAGAAGATAAAAATGAAGCCAGAAAAAAGGGAAGAAAGGGAGTGTGAGAGAGAGAGAGAGCAGTAGTGAAATCACGGTGATTCAATTTTCAATCGACAAAAATCGAATCGAATTTCCCCGAGCCGAAGTGCTCGCTCATGCGAGTGTTGAATTAAGTTTTCATGATCAGTTTTGTGCTTACCGCAGTAAAATACCTCGTAAAGTATATTGGATACGATCACTTTGCTCTCTACCTCGACGACGAGATATGTAGTACCCATAAAACAATCAAACGCTCGCCGCATCATTTTGCGATGACAAATTTTATATTGGATTTCATTCTCCATTCCGTTTTTTTCTCGTATTCTACTTTGTTCCGATAGCGCGCGCGCGCCCATATGTGTGTGTGTGAGTATGTTTTTGTTTGTTCGTTCGTATAACTTGCCATTACGGTCATATTTATATCCACTGACATCCCATTTATGCGTAACATACCTTAACTTGCTGTCACATTCAATATAGTACTAGTGCTATATATACGAATGCAAAACAAATTATGCTTATATGCAAACTATAATTTATACACCGAGAAAAAAACGCACACACAAATACACATGCGAGCGCGCTCGCTCTCCCAGACACATTCAACACAAAAATGAAAAACGAATGGCAAAACTACAACTGCATACACTCACACATGAAAACAAGCAAAAAATAGATCACAAACGTGCAGAGACAAAACTGTGTACATAAATTCAGCCAGCAAAACTTTTATTCTCGCGTCGTCTCGTTCTTGCTGCTATTTTCGTTGGATGTGTCTCTCGGTCGAATATCTATAAAGTTTTTAGCTCGTGCAATTTTTTTTTCACTTTCCCTTATAATTTCAACAAATATTCCTGCAGCGAATTCATGATTTTGCTCCATAATTACGATCGAGCTGAAGAAAGATGAAAAATATGGGAGTAACGAAAACACACACACACGCAGCTGCAAAAAAGAGCTGACAAAAATGGGAATAAATTTGCATTTGCTCGCACATAGGTCATATCCATATATTGATAATCTACATATTTATGTCGTTAAATGTCGGCTAGAACAAAAAAAAGAGCATTTGAACGCAAAGCAAGAAAGAAAGGGCGAGAGTGCACGGTGTACGAGCGAGAGAGGAGCTCGAAAAAAAACTGAATGTGAAAAGCGCAACAAACTGAAATTCTCTCCAGCAGACATTTGCATTTGAATTCCAGTTTTCCACACGCGTACAATTTCACGTTGCAATGCAACGAATGTGCACGCTATATCATCGCGAATGCTGACTGCATATTCACAAGCATGATGAGAATTGACTTTTTATTAGCAAACATTCGTTTTTATGCAGCGCCAAAATGGAGAAGGAAAATTTTTTTTGAATTGTTTCACTACAATTTCTCTCTATCTTCTTCCTGTTCATTCTATATTTCTTTCACATCCGTTTCATATTTACCCGGTTAATTTGAAATCGCTATTTCACTGAATAATTATTTATGAAGTCGATCGCTCTTTTTCCGCATCTTTATTCGTTTAATCTCGACAGTGTGAAAGATTATTAATGGTCCGTCCAATTAAAAACATCGATATGCTGATTGTACCAATATGTTTAAATTAATATTTTTTCGCTCTCGCGTTTATTTGTACGATAAAATTTCGATCAATTAAAAAGTTTTTAATTGGCATTGATTGCATTTCTGTTTCCAATTTCCAGTTTTACCAACAAATGTAAAAATGTTGATAATTTTGCAAGAATTTTATCTTTTCGCAACCTTTTTTACACTCTTTCTCTCTCCTCACATTTTCGGTAGAATGATTTCGTTTCACGTTCTTTTTGTCGCCATTTGTGATGCGAAGCATTCTAAGGATTTACATTGCTCGAACAAATTCAATTTTTGAAATGGGAAAACTAATTTATTCTGCGAATTCTCTCATTGCATTTGGTTTTTCAAAGAAGTGAAAGATTTGGCAAGACGCAATATTGATGTCGAAAATAAAATATATATATATGTTTACTGAAGTTTGTCATAAAAAAGAAATAAAACTTCGGATGATGATGATGATAATGTAAGAATATGGCGTAAGAAAAATCATAAGGCATTTTTAATGTTGCTAACGTTTCCCGCGACGAGCGGAGAAAAAAAAGTCGATGGTGTTTTCGGAGAAAGAAAAAAACGAAAGAAAATTGAGTCGAAAGTTTATCCTGAAAAATCAGCAGGCGTTAAAGACATGGATAGCACATCCGTTACTTTCGTAGCATTCGGATCCCCGTTCGTATGGTTAGCAACACAGTGAGCTTAGCGTTTAAATTGAATCTTTTTTCAATTGAATTGTATTTTTTCCGAATGAAATTGGAATTTATGACGCATGCGAGAGCGCCGATTCTGTATTTTGCTCAATCCGTTCGGGGCTGAAAAAAAATAACGAATAATAAAACTGAAATAGCAAAAAAAAATATGGTGAAGGCGTATGTCGTTCTTAATCGCATCACCACCTCGCTCAGCCTGAATTTATCCTTGAAATCTTGAAATTATTATGGGTAAATTGTTGATTTATGACTTGGCATCGATCGTGATATCGTGAAATATTGACTATGAATAAATTAAATTTTCGCTAAATTTTTTTTCCTCATCCGTCTCGCTCGCTCGAGCCAGATAAATTGGATGACCTCTCATGCATTGCGAAACGATTAGTCTAGATAAAACGACGACACATGAGCAACGATAATAACGGAACAAAAGAGAGGGAGAGAGAGATAGAAAAAAAAGTTGTAAGCAGATCAGATTAAGTTTCAGTCTTCTCTTACACCTCATTCGTAGCCATATTCAGTGCTATGGTGTGGCATAGTCAAATCGCACGCTCCATCCAATAGAACATAATGTGGATGGATGGATGAGTCAGTGGCGTGTCACACGCTGCACCGTCTGCTAAAATTGACCTTTCATTTACTGATTTTGTTGAGAATATCAACATAATTTCCAAAGGTTAATGATAATAACAAGCATATTATCAAGAGCACATTTAAAACATGTACACACTCCTATACACATTTCAATTCACCAATGAACTTCATGTTCTACCATTCACTAAATCTTTTGCGGTTTCCTTTGTACGCTTCGTTCCGCTATTTTTCACCATCAGCGCACACACACAGTGAGAGAGCGAGCGAGAGTGTGCAGGCAAGCAAGTGAGGGTGAGCCGAACAAACCGAGAGCTATGAATTGAACCAATTAGCTACGAATGTAAGGTTTCTAATTGAAAGAGGTGTCTAAAAGTAACATTCTCCATAAATGTTAACACACAGCTGTTAAGTATGGCCATTAATAAGATGAGACTAGACGTCCAGATCGAATGAACGGTGGAATATGGCATATGGATTATGACGACCACATAGAGTTACCCAATAGACAGGCATCGTGGAAGCGGCATTAGCAGATATGCAATTTAATTGATGCGATTTTTAATCGACACAATTTTACGGAATTAGCCAAGCAAATCGATTCATTTATTATTACTTCATTTTAAATGTGATTTCCCTGCATTGTGTTATATATAGATGTGTGTGTGTGCCAATCCCCATTGAAAGCCGCAAATGAATGAATCTGTCAATTATCAGCATCGCCACTGCCACTGTCACCGCCACATTTCGTTGTTGTTAAATGAGCATTCCAAATTAATTACCGATTATGAATCGGAATTGTTACTGCAGAACGCGCGCGCGGCTCCGATTGCCTTGGTTAGCATCCCCGTAAAGCATTTGTGGAATGCTCCTTTTGCGATTTTACTATAAAAGAGCTGAGCCGTATCGATGGCAACATTCATTCGTGTTTTACTATTCAGAAGTGTGGTGCATAAAGTGTTCGAAACAATGAAAGTAAAATCGATATTTGCACATTTTCATTTGGAATTTCCTCTCTGTTTTTCTCGTTCTTCTTGAGTGTACGAGCAATTTAATTATGAATAACACAAAATTGTCCTTTTCACTCGCAGGCCATTATTATTTGTACGGTGCTGATGATGATTGTTCTTGTTGCCGATGTTGGGGCTGGATATTTGGGCGGTGGTAAATAAAAAATATTTTAATTGTACTTTCATTCAGTCGTTTATTTGTTTTATTATCTTGATTGTCTCGTATCGATACGACGACGAGCGAGTCGCGCGACGGACGCAGCCTCGGGTGGTTTTGATCGAATGCGGTGCGAAATTAAGAATTCATGCGGTTACCATTTGTCGTGCAATAAATTCCATCTTTGACAGTTTAAATATACCTTTTTAAATGGGCATCTCGATCATTTTCTTTTATTCAAAAAGGTGGCTACAGCGGATACTCCAATTATGGTGGATTTGGTCATGGGGGTGGTTACGGTGGTGGTTACGGTGGATACGGGGGCAACGGGGGTGAGTGATTTTGCCGGCAATTTTCGCAACGAAAAATTGCGACAAAAGTTGCGCTTCATCGAAAATTTATGATTCAAACCATTTTCTCCAACTATTAATTTATTTCGTTTCTGTCATTTTCAACAACGAATGGATACACCCAAACAACAGGCTACGGTTCTTCGTATGGTGGTGAGTAATGCGGAAGGAACAACTTGATTGAAAATTTAAAACTATTAAAATCGAAACGGATTAAAAAAGAGAACGCGCGCACAAACAGTTAATAGATTTTCATTATGAAGTGTATAAAATGAGTTAATGAGAAAGTGTATGTGGGCCGCGTTTTTTTGCCGCATCCACATCATAGAGATTAACCTAGCAATCCGTAACTAGCGTAACTTTCAAGTACTGCTTTTGCAAGTTTCAAGAGGATTTCTGAATGAAAAACTTGCATTCGAAATTATGTGAAAGTTGATTGCAGTGGAAAGCTCCGTAAAACAGATACATGCATTCAGAGACACAGCGATAGAGTGAGAAAGGGAATGTACGAAACTGTTGGCAGTCGCTAAAGAGGGTCAACAGATGCTGTCAATTGAATGAATGGCACGAAGTTTATAGTCTTTTATAATCTACAGTGAAAAGCATTTAACTGTTTGGGATGTTGTATTTTTTTCTGTAAACTCTCCATCCGTTTCCATGTAAACACTTTTATTCAGCTGCTACTACTGCTGCTGATGCTATGTTATAAGAGTACAGGAGAGAATGAGTAATAATTAATTTAATTCGCGCATTTTCCAGGCTACGGTGGCGGTGTCAGCACAATAAAGGTACAAAATTTGAGCATTTAATACCGATAACAGCCATAAATATTTTTTAACGTGACTGTAATGAGCTTGTGAGCTACATAATTCATGCGTTTTTCACATAATATTCGTTGAAGTTGAGCATCATTGTTCATTTTCATTGTTTTTGGTTCTTGGGGATTGGAGCTGTGTGTGTTTGCGTCTTGGGCTTCGAATGCGTAAGCATTCATTAAGCGATGATAGAACACGACACAAGAAATCGCATAAAAAGGATCAACCACGCAACAATAGTCTCCCGCAAGAAACGAAAGTTCTGTTCGCATACGTTTTTTTCTCAAAATTTCAAACATCTTCCCAAGGTTATACGCGTAGGTGGAGGTGGCTACGGAGGACATGGTGGATATGGAGGCTATGGGGGATATAGTGGGGGCGGAGGATTTGGACACGGTTATCGTAGCGGTGGCTATGGCCATGGTAAATGTGCAATCACCGTCTTTTTTCGTCGTCATTTTTATTTTCAATGCCAAATAAACTTTTATTTTAACATTAATTTTAGGCTGGTAATTAAACACTTGACGCGAGAACATTAGACGGATTTACTGTGTTTGATAAGCCTTCGGTTCGAGACCCGTTTACCATCAATTTCTATACATTACTGTCGAACTGTGTGCATGATAATAAATTTTAACAAATAAAATTTGTTTGGAAAAAGGCAGCAATTATTTATTGACTTTTTATTGGCGTTAATCCCCAAGATACGTTTGCTAATGTTGAAACATTGAAAATCACAGCAGCAACAACAACAACAGCAATAGCAGCGGTTGCAAACGTCACACAGCAAATGAGTAATGTAAATTCATGGTCTCCCCCAACACTTGTGTGTCCGGTCCGAATATCAGTGACTAAAGTGAATACGTCTATGCTGAAAATTTTGCCGTTGGCCAAAAACTTCAAAATGTCATTTGGGAATAATAATAAAAACGGAACCTTTGAATTTTCAACTTGAAATGGACTAAAGTCTAAATAACCCATGTCCTCTTGTGTAGAGAGAATCGACCAGGTTTCCGGTCCGAAAAAAAAGAATCTTATTGTCGATGGCTGAGGCCATCATCGTTTCATAACACAGTAAACTAGCAATAAAATGTTCGAAAATTAACATTTATATTCAATAAATGCGTGGCAAAGAGCATTAAATTTCCCAAAAGTGCTCCACAAATGTATTCACCAGCTGTGCAGTCTTTCATAGTTTAGTCACTGTTTCCAATTGAATGTATTGTACATTGTATATTATATTGAATATGAATGTGTTCGAGAGAGAGTGTGTGTATGCGTTTTTTTATATATATTTTTCAATTCGCCGTGTTTTGTTGAATATTCAAATGCGAAATGTGTAATTAACGGCAATGTTCATAAATTTTCGCTCAAGTTAATTCGGCCGTAATGTGTAAATTGTGTGAGGCTAGACTTTAATACAGTTTACATTTTTGGTTTTGCGTCGACTGTGTGTGCGAGTGGTAAAGGCTCGTTGTTGTCGTTTTTCTGTATATTTAACTTTAAATTTTAAGCGCTTAAACGGACGGCATCGTTCGCATATATATTAAATTTGAGCAAATAGTGTGAAAATCCAAACCAATTTTCTGTTTGGTTCGCATTGTGTGTGCATGTTTGGGCATGCAGACGAGTGAGCGCGGTACGGCGGCAGCTAGAAGTGTATATACAGCACGCCTTTTAGCACACAACCATTTGGAAATGTCTCTATTTCCGTTGGCCGAAATTCGAATCGAACAAATGGCTTTTACTAATGGGACCGTGATATTTTTAAATGGTTTTCGGCTTTCGAGGATTATCATTTGCGAAAATATTTGAAATAATTCGGGCTTGGATTCGGTTGGCTCGGCTTTGCATGCCTTGGTTTGGTTTGGCTGGGTTTCGTGTTCGTTTTGTTCCATCTGATCTGGCTGGTTGCGTTTATATTTGCGTTGAGCACGCATACATAAATTTATATATCCATATTCTGGAGTTGTCCCGAAAGTATTTTGCAAACAAGGAATTATAAATAGCCTTTCGATGTGTGTAGAACATATAATCATTTATCACTCGTAAATGAAATATTATTCCGTTTTTAATGTCATATTCCAACTATTACCATCGTTATTATAGTGTTCGAAGGGCGATTTTTCCATTTTCGGTCAATTCGGTTGGGTGTTTCTACCGAAATTAAGGATATTGACCGAAATGCAGACGGGGGAAATGAAATGAAGAGAAAAGAGAAAAAATATATCGATGGAATTGCGTGAGTTATTAATGTGCCATTTAAATGGAATTCACTGAAGCTGTCGAGAGTGTGCCAACCTGATATACACATGCCATGAATGCTATTTCGAAAATGAAACCGAATTTCCAGACGCCATACCACATAGTAGAAATGGCGTTATGCATGAGGATAAATTCGTTTAATCACATGTCATACGTAAGCGATAGCCACAGGCTACCATCGCTCTCTTTCATGCCATAATAAAACCGTGTGTGCGAGCGATGGTGAGGCGAATCGGACGCGCCTAATCTCATTAGGTAATGAGCAACGAGGTCAAAGCATAACATAACATAGTGATAGCATTGTGACGAACATCGTTTTAACAACAGCGTTACAACTAACTTAACTAAGGATAAATCGAAGCTTAAAACGCTTATACGATAACACGTATGCGAGAAAAGAGAAAGACCGACCACCAACTCTATCACACATATTAAATACACACACACTCACATGGCTCCTTATTGCTGAATGCAAACGAAATGTGGTGAATATGAACGCGATAGCGTTATGGAGTGGCTTTTATAATAGCCTCTGGCAAAAATGGCGTGTTTAATGTGTAAAACTAGAAATTATGTGAATGAATTCGGGTGTGTGAGCTACTTTGCAGCGTACGAATGTGTATGTGTTCGAGTATGTGCTTCTATTTGCACAATAGAACATTTGAGAAACGTGCACAATTTATGTTGAGTGAACAACAAACAAGAAATAAGAAACACGAGCCGCCGAAGTGTGGACGAGTGTGAAAAACTCACATTCTCTCTCAATGAGCGAACGAGTCGAGTCAAATGAATAAAACAAATGAACGGCAAAAAATTTTATTGCTCATGTTTCGCATACGCACACACACCAAACCAGCGGCACGAACTATTCCACACCAAAATTATTATTATTAGATGAGTCAACACAGAGTGAACGAAAAAAAACGTGAATGAGAAAAAAAAACACAGCACAATGCCTCAAAACTACTGACTAGATTCACACACAGCACCAATTTGAGGCAAATAACAGTGAATTGGGTGCGCGCCCGCTTCGCTTGCTCGTTCGCTCTCTCGCTGACACCAACAAATAGAGACGTATAATCATAATAATAATAATCGTATGTTTTGCCTTGATATTCGCTGCCATATTCGGTGCACATGAAAAGGATTTTTGTAAAAGGGCAAAGTTTCCAACGAAAAGCACAAAAAAGTCGCACAAAACAGCCATACACATACTCGAAACAACAGTAGGAATAAAAAAGAACTAGGGCCATTATTACTGTTATTAGGTATTCAGACGATGGCTACGTGTACATGTGCCGTGTCCATTGCACACGTATCGTACTTTTTCCGATCGCTTCTCTCTTTTGTTGGCTTATCTGGTGAGATAAAACTTTTTGAAAGCAGAAAAATTGCGTGCTACCGATTAATAAATTTTTCAATTTTTCTCGATTCTTATTTTCTGCGATTTCGTCCCGGATTGCTTTCGGTGAGTGTCTGTGTGTGTGTGTGCTCTGTCCACTCATTTGTTTTATGCTGCATTCACAGCATCTCGCCCGTGTCCATGCCATCTGTATGCCTCTGATGCCACTCTTTGGTACGACTAGAAAATCGGTGTTTTTAACAAGCAGTTATTCCGCATTTTTTTCTCGCTCTGCACTTTTTCGTTTTTCAAAAGAATAGGACAAGCATGGCGAAGAGAATAGAACATTAATTATAATGAAAAAGTGTGGAACAACAGCAATAATGGAAAACAATCGTAAATCTTGATTACAATTACGACACAAGCACACCGAATGAATGCAGTGAGCGAGCCTCGCGCGCTTGATCTCATTCGCGATGTATATACAAATAGAAAGAAAGAGAGAAATAAAACTTCGAGAAGAGAGGAATCTATCTTGGCCGCTTTCATATTCAAACGCTCCCATAAACTCAAACATCACAATACCAGGAAACAAAAAGATGTACCATTGAGCGAATAGCGATGCAAAAAAAAGAGAAAAAAATTTATAAAACACAACCGGAATAAAACAAAACGAGTGAAGTGAAAAAGAGATGGCACACAGAGTAAAGAAGAGAAGAGAGAAAAAACAAGAAGCATAAAGAAAATCCGATTCCCGTGTTGTTTGCTCAAAACTTTTATCTGCACTCTCGAGCAAATCAGCCATAGCAATTTAAAGAGCGTGCATAGGTTCCTGTTTTCTAGTGAATTTCACAGCGGCAAAAAGGAATTTATCCTACACTAATACTACAATGGAGGAAACAAGCGACAGCAACAGCGACAGAGAGAAAGAGAATTGTTAAATGCGTACAGCGTACACATCAATGTCGACTGAGGCGATGAACATGAACAATGAAATCGTTTAACTGAAATATGTGAGATGGGCTCGCGATCCATATTCAAAAACTCAAAGCTTCGTCATCATCATTGCTTATGGATGGAAAGACATACACACAAAATATAAATTCCAACAACAAAACGTGCGCTGCACGTTGTTCTATAGTCTTGCTGCAGTTGGTGGCGAGTAAAGTGAGCAGAAATATAGCGCGCCCAGCGGCAAGCGTGTTCCAAACATTTTGCTATGATATTCATCAAACGGGAAAGAGGAAGAAGACGACGCCATTGAACGAGAGAGTGCAAAAGGACCCGCAACGCTTGGATCTCATCAAAAATGGGAGAAAATCTATAAGTTATAACGCTTTTCGATAATTTCATGATAAATGGTGTCGCGTAGGATGCATCTTTAATAAATTATACATGGCGTAGCCCGAGATAGATGAGACGATGATTGGGTGTGCGTGTGGGACAAAACTATATAGGTATGAAATGAGTAAGATGAGTTACGGCTGGCGAGCTACGGCTGGCATACTACGGCTGTCGAGCTAACTGGGAAAGTGTCGCTAATCGATTTGGATGAAATCGAATCGTGGCAAGGCAGGCAAAGGAACTTAAGGTGAGGTGAGTGAGGAAATGTACATGCAAAATCTAGGTTCCGTGAAGATATCTACATTTTACTATAAGCCTCTGTGTGAAAGCGGTAAAAGTGTGCAGCATTCACATAAATAGCTTGGTGCGGCTAGCCGTTTCCGAGATATGCGCCTTTTTCTAAACAATTCAATATGGCAGCACAAACAACATCAAAGATATGAGAAAACTAACACCCCATTTCTCTCTCTCTGCATGCGCGGTGCCTCACTCTTTGTACGGCTCTCTCTCTCTCTCTCTCTCTTTCTTTCTTTCTCTCATCGTCGTCTCTGATGGTGGTGGTGATGATGTTGGTGCTGTTTATTTGCCTCGCACAACTAAATAATACCCACCAGCTAGCACAAAACCAGTCAACATTGAAGCTCGGTGTGTGTGTCTGATGTTGTCGTTCATCTGGTGATCTCACTCACAGTCGCATGACTGTA